GCACTCTACATGGTTTATGCCTTACATGCGCATCGCTTGCAAGAATTCTTAAATGTAATCGATTCTCATATGAACTATACTTTATCACGGTGCGTATCAAGCCCTAATATTTTGACGACGTACGATAGTGATACTGTGGCCAATCAACTGGCTTCACAGGAGATCCAGATTCCCTCCTCCGATCAGTAGTTGCGCTTGCCCCATTAACTCCAACAATATTCTCGTGATTCTCTCGAGGTGTGTATCAGGAATGTCCGGCACTTGTGCAACAGAAAACTGTCAGCATTCGTTCTGAATCTGTAAGTAACCTATGCTGCAACTGGTGTTATGTGGATGGCAATGTCCCTTACCTGAAAAGACGGCCTCGACTAGACGCACACATTTGCAAGTTAAGTTGGTGTTAACAGGAGACAACTGAATTCCACCTGAAGGGTAGCATAAAGAAGTGAATTATTTGAAATTCAGCTGAGTCCTCCGTTAACACCTGTTTACTCTACAAATGATTGTATTTCACCAATTGGGCATGATTTCATGTTTGCCCGGAACGTGATATTAACGAAACCTCCTGGAATGTGCCTACAAATGCGCCTCAAAAATAGTGAAATCGATAGTTGGCAACCAAAGAATTTTCGCTAGCCTTATAGGTGGATTTCGGTGAGAGAAGACTACTGACAAAACCTGAACAGACTACCTTCGTAAAAAATAGTCAGCAGTGGAAATTTCGTTGCGTAACTGGAATTAATCTATGGTGAAAAGCTGGGAAGCAATGTACAGTGGTTTTATTCTTATTGAGAGTCATGACGGAATTCTGGGATGTTCCAAATCTAGGACTGCTCAGCTAACAGTATGAACACAACCGTTCGGTCATGAGTGGGTACTACTTCTTTTGAGTCGATCATTTGGAGACACTGACCGACAAAGAATATAGTGCCTCAGTAATGACAAATAAGCGAAAAATGAATTTCTTGGAGCCCGTTTTCAAACAGGCGTTAAGTTTGCTTGTCA